GAAGAAGAAGATTTGTTAACAGCCTTATAGACTCTGTCGTGACTGACGCACGACCGTCCCTGGGGGGCTAATGGGGCGCTGGTAAGAAACCGCGCTCGGGTCGCACTGTCGTCGGTCCTACAACGAAGAGAATGATTCACAGGGAACCGCGCACACAGTACTATTGCCATCACTTTTAAATAAGTGTCGTCCTGCGCTCATCATGAGCGGTCGGACAAGCGGTGGACCAGCGTCGCCATTCCTTTTCCCAGTCCGACTTCGGTCCATGGTTTTTGCCTGTCACAACTGATCACTTGCTTCCATCAATTACTCCTCTCCTCATCCGTTACCCACGGGTATGCCTTCATCTCAATCATTTGTACACATTAGTATCGATTTACCATTCATCATATGTGTTGTTATTTGACTGCAATGATTTTGTTAATGTTTCCATATACCGTTTTCCTACATGAAGTTGTTGATGATACCCGTGTTATGTCAGTGTAGTCATAGTGGACAGGCAATACATGGGTTCAAGCTCGTCTTCCACATAGCAAGAGGCAGGCCCTTTACAGCCAGTGGCAGGTCTTTTGGGAGCATTCAACGGCGCGACGTCCCCTTAGGAGGGTGCCGGCCCTTACCACGTCGCGTTCTGGCGTGACCAGGGTGCACTCCGACGATGCTAACATCTCGTCCGCACCTGGTCACGACAGACTCTATTGAGCCGTCCAGGTCTCCGTTCGAAGTTCCATGGTAAGTTGGTGGCCTTCCCTGGTCAGAGAAACATGCGATCTTTTCGCATAACTGACAAAACTGCGATGTCATGCCTGAAGTGACTGTTCAGAACAAGCACTACTGAAGGCGCGGTGTACTTGGCGAAGCGCAAAGGGTAGTTCATGCAGTATCACTCCTTCTTCCAGGCTCAGCCTCAGCAGAGAGCTAAACTACCCTAGTGTAAAAAGACGACTATGCAAGTTATCCATTACACTTCTGTTTCCACTACGAGAGTTTTCATTGATAGCGCCAGTGACAAAATCGAATATTATATTTATGATCAATGCATCGAATGACATCTATAGGCGAAGTTTCAGCAGAAAAATTTGAGTTTTTGGAATGGTTGTAGGGATGGTGCCCCTACAATCTTCTAGGTACTAGTTAAATAAATAATATCAGAACGCTACCTTATCCGAATATCGCTTGTCGAAAGAATGCTTTGCCAATAGGTTTCTCAACAACACAATCGCTCGCCGTCGATATTCTCGAGGTTCATGCATGCATGCATACAACTCCTTAAAATGTCTTAATTCCATTCACCAAATCCTACCTACTGAAAAGTTTGAATCTCTCTTATGGAGGATGCACTTCAGAAAAAAACATACAATGAAGCGACCATTCAAAATGAGCGGAAATAGGCTGATGAACGTGTTCATCTCCAATAAACCCTTGCAAGAGGCGCAATTTAAACGACTCTCACGCAGGATTACGGACTAATTTTATTTGCATGCATGTTTAGGTTACCTTACCTTTCTGCACCAGCAAGAAGGGCCACATTTTAAATGCTTTCAGCTTTCTCAGATCTCATTCAAAACAATGAGTTTAATGGGAAAAGGTTTTTCTACAGAAAACCTAAGTATTACAATGCGTTTCAGAATTATAAGGATTAAGGAGGAGAAAGCTACCAACTGATATCACTAGTATTAATGGACGACTCCTCACCAAAACAATCACTGTGTGGAGGTCTTACCCAATTCTTTTAATACTACTGAGTTTCTCCACCGTGTTATATTGGGTTGGAACATAAGTAATGGCGTTTTTTTTTCAACTGAAATTTTTGTTTTAAAAGTGAAATGTTTTGCAAGCAATTATATATCGTCTGATAGGAAACTTCTCGTAGTATAAGAATATCAAAAAAGCTTTGGTTGAGGACATAGTTTTTGTGAATTCTTAGTCGTTGTAGTTGGAAGTGAAGCCGGCGAAAATTAGCATCTTCGACAACTGCCTCTATTTAGAAATTTCATGCTAATAGTTGAAGTAATTGAATTTGAATTTGATATTCTAACACTATGAGAAGTTTTTTTTCAATCGAAAAATTCGTTCTAAAAGTCAAACGTTTTGCAAGCAAGCTTAATATCGTTTAATAGCAAACTTCTCGTAGTGTTAGAATATCAAATTCAAACTCTATTAATTCAACTATTAGCATGAAATTTCAGGTGGAACAGACGTGAGCCTGCCCAATATCGGCGAGGTGAAGGTTGACAACTCTGAAATTCTCGAAATTAGTTCCAAAGCGTCCTACTGAGATTCCCTTGCTGAGACTTCTAGCGACCTTTTCCAAATGTATGGAGCAGCTTAGACGATATGAGCACTTCGAGTACACTTAAACAGAGGCAGTTGTCGAAGGTGCTAATTTTCCCCGACTTCACTTTGAACTTCAACGACTAAAAAGTTCACAAAAACTATTCCCTCGACCGGAGCTGTTTAAATATTCTTATACTATGCGAAGTTTCCTATCAGATATACTACGCGAAGTTTTCTATCAGACAATATCAAGCTTGCTTGCAAAACATTTCACTTTTAAAACAAAATTTTCAGTTGAAAAAAACGCCATTACTTATGTTCCAACCCAGAAGTTATAGGGCCGGACATTGATAAGATATTTCACTAATGATGATGATACTTGAAAAAGAGCCAATAATCCCTGGCCATACCGTGTTGAACACCGTTGACGAATGGCATTTATTAGGAAGGAGGTAACACAGCACTTCACCATCATTTCAGATCCTGTCTAAGCTCTTCTATATTCTAGTTTGGTATATTACTTATATAAACTTCTCTGAAACCGAGGACTGGAAGTCCTCCATTAAACTGAGGTGTAGCCGCAATAGCATATTCTGGATCTACTGCAGCACTTTCCCTGAATCTCTAGCGCGGATAACAGCGCTTCCCGCTGAAGTCATTTAGATAAAGTCTTCCGCTTACAAAAATAACAGCTGTTCTAGCAAGACCTTTAGGTATGTTAAGAGCCCATTGTGCGAACCCTGAAAGCACCTTTCAAAGTGACATCGCTACTCATCATTACAGAAAGCACATCAGCCCAAAAGGCTTCCTCTATCAAAATGGCTAGGTGTGTAAAGCATGAGCTCTCGCAAGAAGAGGCGCGGAAGCGTTCTTATGGGAGAATTACACTGAAACGTGGTAGTTAAGCGCAACAGATAGCGCGCTGGTGTGATAGGCAAGAGGTCGTGAGATGATTTCCTTGTTCGCCTTTTTTGTATTTTTCATGTACATTAACGATGAAGCTTCTTATATCTTTGCTCGCCTGCACTAGCCTGTAGGAGAACCTGCAATCAATTTTTTTTTCTACTAAAAGCGTTCTAACGTAGCAGTGGACCTATCCGCTCGAATGGTAGAACCTTTGGCCTCTGATGACGACGATGAAGTCGAAAAGTTGGGCCATTTACTAAATGTCCCGTCCCACCTAACAACTTCGCAACGCACAGGACAACTGAAAGACCTGCGTTCAACTTTTTTTTCTTGAAGTGCAGACTCACTGTGCCCTGAAAGAGTGCTTGTGTTTTTCCTCCTCGTGACATTTGTCACACGGGTTTCGCACTGGATTGGTGTGGTACTCATGTTCAGTGGGTCAAATTACCCATGCGGCAAGTTTCTAACCAAATCTAAGATTTTCACCTAACCTGGAGAGTGTTTAGTGTGGAGTTCACCTGCCATTGATGACTAGTCTTGGGATGAATTTTCCTCCCACTAACCTAGAAAATGATATAGATGATGCGAATACGTGGCGGGTACTGTTTTTGCGATAAGATATGACCCAAGCGGTACTAGGACCGATGGCCCACCACCGATGACTGATCTTCGAATTTGGCTCCAAAAAAAGGAGCTAGGGTAGTATCGCTAGCGGCTATACTATCTCAGCCCCACTTTTTTTCCAAAGTTGAGTCCAAATCTCAGATTTTGCTAAAAGTGCCGTCGCTAAGGGTCATTTGACCACTCCGAGCACGAACATGACAACTGTCTTGCGCGAACAGCATGATATACAGCGCTACAGGTGCCAACGCTTCGGCACCAACGCGCCCTAAAAAAGAAAACACTGGGAAAACCTCAGTAGTCTCGTTCAGAGAATTGTTCCATAAATTAAGAAGGTAGATTTGAGTACATCGCCTCAAGACGCGCACAACAGTGAGCACCTCATTATGGGCGGACTGACCTGTTGACTTTCCTGGTAAGTGTGCTGGTACTTGACACACTTACTTAGGACGAGATAGAAAAAAAATCCAACCTCGCTTAGTTCCTCTCTCTCAACTCAGCTAAGAGGGAGTAACCAGAAAAGGGCGGAGAAATGGAGAGTAGAAGATGGACAAAAAAAAGACCTGGGCCCCAACTGATGAAAGTTTGAAGACATGCTAAAGCAATGACAGAGCCAAATACGTTCAATGCCAGTTCTGATCTACCTGTTCAGACACCTGCTGATGGCGAATCAGAGGAAGAGGAAAGGCGTGTGAAAGGTCATGCACTGCGAAATGATTTAGACAAGCAAGTCTGGAGATATGTATGTTCCTGCATTTTGCAGAAGATAACATGCTTTGAGCTTATAAAATCTATGTTTACATCTTTCTGCTTTTTTTTTGATATGCGGCAGCGTGCCAAGAGTACAAATATGATCATAGACGCATGGTCGAATGGGTCGTAAGACTGAATTTCTAATCATGTCTGGATCTCTGAACACGATTTAGTCGTAACTTTAGGCTATCAAAAAGTCTCAGAACTCTCTCATCGCAACCTGCAGTGTAACTGGAAAATGAAAAAGTTTTGAGGTGGCAACGTGCAATTCTGGTTGCCGCAGTTGCGTCACTGAAAGAGAGCTTAAGGGCTCGCACCGAGTTCTTATTCTAAAGTGGGTCGTTATGACCTGAGACGCGCATTTGCCCAACCATGTGCCTTGATATGGAATCCAATCCGATCAAAACATAGATTCCCAAGTCTATGCTAAACCTGCTTTCACGAAGTAAAAGCAACAGATTGACACAGGTAAAGGGGTGATATTTTCGACAAGGCCCTTCGTCTCACCTGAAAAATTATTCCGGAAGGAAAATGATGAGAAACGTACGTCGCATTCAAATACCATTCTTCAGAGCATGTTGCATCTGAAAGTATAAGGAAGCTTAACACCACATTGCTTGAAAACAGTATATGAAAATCGTTACAGCGATGTTTATCAATGGAAGATGCAGATGGTTGGAAAACCTGATTGAGAAATCGAGGCAAAAATCGAGAACTAGGACCTAGAATGAGTACTTCGAAAGTGTTGAAGAAAGCCAGCGAACAATGATGACAAACCTGAAGTTACACCCCAATCAGAGTACAATGGCTGGTTCACTACCCTCTGAATTTGATTTTGTGAATCTATCACTACTGGCAGACATAGCGGCAGCCAATGCTCGTGCTGAGATATTATTGTGAGGACGTCCAGCTTGAAATCTCGTATCACCTGTAAAAGACATCAATCAGCACGACTGTCACTGAAATTAAAAAAAAACAAAAATTAGAGCGTCACATCCATAAGATTCACAGAGTTCAATGAGTAAAAAAGATGTTCTCTGTTTGGAAACAATATTAGCACATTTAGGACTGCATGACATACACAAGTAGTCATACTTTGTGTGGCCGTGTGACTGTAGGAAGTGCTCGCCGAATAGGTGCACAACTTTATTCTCACCCAACAGAATAGCATCAAATTTCGATGTTTTACATAAATCAATGTTGGAACCTAGTTGCAATATTGGCTTCTGAATACGATGAGCGGTGCGCAGAATTCTTCCGATCCCAACGCCACACTCGACAACTTTGCAGCTGAATTCGGTATCCTTACCAAGATAAGTATTGGTAAACGGACTCTGGAATAACATTGAATGCGCAAAAATTTTTGAACACCTCAACTCATTGATCGAGAGGACTTTATCCTGTTATCTAATTCGAGTTCGGTGAGGGTATCGGAGATCGAGCTCCTTTTGATCTTCTGAATCTGCAAGCAAAACTGTGATTTTTTTTCTTGGTTTAAAGCTTGCCATCTGAGTCTAGCAAACTCGATGTTCTTTCAGTGGTCCGTTTATTACTCAACACTCTCATTAACACTATTGAACTTGGGCAAAAGCACAAAAGGATTGGCAAGAGCATGGGAACGCTGATACGATTTAGGTTTCGCGAATACCACCGAGAAATGAGACACTATGGCTTCCATCAAAATACTGAGGAAGAGAGCGTTTTTCATATTAAAGACATATTGTACGCTCATACACATTGAGGGTGTATGAGACTACCAGCCCCCCAGATGTCGATGTGTCGTTGTCCCCCCGCCCAAACATGCCCAGGAATGGAGATACAGGGCCGTGAAACACGCTAGCTCTTCCATGCTCGGCCCACTGCCTTTTTTACTGGCGCAGAATCCCGGCCGTTCATAACATCCGTCGTAAGCAGCCGCATGTCGCGTGCCGGCTCCTGGCACTTGCGAAGCTTCCTTTAATTGCGCTCTCAAATACCAGAGGAAAACGCCAATTTCTCTGAATGTGGATAATGTATCTGAGGTGCTGCAAAATAAGAAACATGAAGATATGACGAGGGTCAGAAACCTTAAAAGCAACTGTGCCAAGTTCTGCAACATCTTCCTCGAAGGCCAGCGTATTTTTCCACGAAAACAATGAAAATAAAACGTGCAAAATACTTCGTTAGTTTGATACAAGCAACGCAAATTTGCCTGGATGCGAATAGAAATTTTAGGTGTTGCTCCAGGCTTCAGAATCTCATGTCAACAGGAGATGTAAGATGACATAGGCCTAGAATAAGGACAACGATGTAAATGTAAACAAATACCAAAAATAAAATAAATCCAAGGAAAGCGCAAATTAGATAAAACTGGCCTGTAAATTTCTACCAATCCGGCGCCAAAAGCCATAGAAATACTCAGAATAAACGAGTGGGACGCTTGGATTGTTTTTATTCTCATGTTTTCATGGGAATTGCGCGGCCTCTGATAGGATTCTGGTCAAATGCATGCCGATGTTCTCTTGACGTCTGATCTCCTCGTCATCATCTCTGTTCTTATTTTCAGCACCGTCAATGTTGTCCGCTCAAGAATTGCGTTTTCCTTGAGGAGACGGCATAAAGGACTTGCAAAGTGCCAAGGAGTGCCGCACGCGACAGGCGCGCTTACGGAGATGTTATGAACGGCGGGAATTCTGGCCGTGAAAAGCCAGTGGCGGAGCATGGAAGAACTAGCGGTGTTTCAGCCGGCCCTGTATTCGCTCCATTCCTGGGCATGTTTGGGCGGGGGGACCACGATACATCGACATCTGGGAGGCTGATAGTCTCATACACCCTCAATGTGTATGAGCGTACCATGTGTCTTTAACTTTATCCCTTATTCATGACACATTTTCTAGTGTCCGAGCTTCCTGCCTTTATCTACATCTCTGAAAATAGAGCAAATCGTAACACATTCAGGAAACACTTGAAACGCTCCGAAACTCGGAAATATGAGCATTATGCTTGCGATGAGTCTCGACCAATATAGTCGCTGCGGAAAATTTCCGCGCACCATGCTGAGGGCAAATAATGCAGTGTATAGGCAGAACTGATTGACTTCACATATCGTAATTGGATGCGAGCTGGTTTGGTGGAAAAAGTTTTGCACGAAAAACCGTTCTGGCAACTGCTCTTGACGGTTACTGTGTATTGCCGGGACGTGAGAAGCATCATATTAGAAATGAGATGGTACCCGAGAATTAAAGGGATAACCATGTAACCGCTCTCTTTTTCGTATTCTATTCAGTTCATAGTCCTCCTGTTCTTTGCCTACAATGGACGTTGAACTCTTTAGAGAATTTCCTCGGAATGGCCGTCAATGGTCACTAAAAATAACCTGTGGGTCACAGGAAAATGACAAAACTAAAAACTAAGTGAAGACGCAAAAGAATTTGTAGGAAAATTACTACTTGAAGAACTTGGATGACCTCGTATGAGTACGAGTGCCATACCAGAACGGCATACAAAAAGGCCCTGACCACATAAAAAGAACAGTTGGTATTGGGCATTGGTTGGGAACGCGATAAAGAATGGAGTTCATTAGTAAAATTACTAGAAGACTCTACAGCTCAACCAAATGAAAATCCCCCTTTCAGCTAAAACCAAAAGAAGACTCTACTTGAGCAACGGTTTTTGAAATGTTTTATGGACTATGTTGGTATAACCGCCGAAGATTGCAGCGTTCACCTTTGAATCACATTCATCCAGACGTTGTAAAGTGAAATTGATCCATTTGAAAACAGCGCCACGATCCACGATACTCAGACAACACTAAAATGATTATGTACAGTGAAGAAGCAAGATGAGAGAAGGTTGGCTTGAAAGTTTACGGACAATTCTCGATATGCGTTTCTCCCTTATACTTTGTTCAGACGCCATTGAAATGACACTTATTTTCGTTTGGTCCTCAGCTCAAGATGAACATCTAAAAAGCCGAAAACGACCTAGAAGAGCCTTAATGAGGATTCACAGCTTTTGACAGTGAGTCTTCGTTGAAAGGAAGAGACCTCGCACTGCTTCCCAGAACTCCATTTCAAGAAAGTCTGTGAGAATAATGGTATTCATTTCAACAGCCAGTAACAATCAATCGTACTTATTACCGGTTCTACACAAACTTTCGAACAAATACCATAAATTTCTAGTTGCTCACAAACAGGAACAACCTAATATTATGCTTTTTGCGACGTTTTGAACGTCTGTGGGTCACATCGCACTGCAAGAGAGCAAGAGTGTCGCTCAGGTGCTATTAGGTTGTCTGGAAAGTTCTCAGCGTTTTGTTACATTCACTGCTGTTTAAAAACTCATTCTGCCTTGCTTCTCAGTAGCACATCCTGTAGAGAATTTCTTGCGCTATCTGACGGTATAATTGCCGTTTCACCATTGCTTGACAAACTCCATTTTTTTTTAAGATTTTTTCAAGCATGTGAAAAGAGCACTTCGGGCGATTTTTTTCTTCTACTCTAAATTGGGGCAATCCGGAATCGAAACAGCTCAACAAATTAATCAGGTGTGGGGGCCCAACAGTGCTAGAGAAAGCACTGTGCGGCAGTGGCTCAAAAAATTTCGGTCTGGAGATTTCAGCCTTGAAGATGAACCTCATAGCGGTCGACCTAAAGCAATATCTGACGAGAATTTTAGGGGGATTTTGGAGGCTGACCCACCCCAACAGTTCAAGAGATTGCAGAAAAGCTAGGCGTTGGCAAATCCAGTGTTGCAGATGGTCTGAAACGCATTGGGAAGGTGAAAAAACTCGATAAGTGGAAGCCCCACAATTTGAGTGACCGGCAGAAATTGGCACGTCTCGCGGTTTCCTCTTCACTGCTTTTGCGCAACAGAAACGAACTGTTCTTGAACCAAATTGTCACCTGTGATGAAAAATGGGTCATGTATGATAACGATAGGAGACGTTCCGGACAGTGGTTGGATTTCGACGAACCACCGAGGTAATTTTCAAAGCCGAACAGTCACGAAAAAAAGATTCTGGGCACGGCTTGGTGGCCATCGGCTGGTGTGATCCACTATAACTTTTTATCACCAGGCCAAACCATCCCAGCAGAACCCTACCGTGAAGAAATCGACGAATTGTACCGAAAATTTTGTCAGATGCAGCCAACACTTATCAAAGAAAGGGTCCGATTCCTTTGCATGACAACGCCCGCCCACACGTTTCACAAATCACTATAAATAAATTGAACGAATTCGGGGTTGAAGTTCTACCTCAACCGCCATATTCTTCAGACCTTTCGCCAACCGACTATCACCTTTTCTAACATTTTCAGAACTTCCTTGCTGGAGAATACTTCATCAATCAGGACCAGGCAAAAAAACCTTAGTTAGTGGATTTCGTGAATTTTCGACCACCCAGTTTTTTACTTTGATGGGATTTCTCGACTGCTGTCACAATGGCAAAAGTGTGCTGATTCGAATGGTGCCTATTTCGATCAAATCCAATGAGTACTAAAAAAGTTACTATCGTTTGAAGCGAAACACCCAAAACGCTGAGAACTTTCCGGACAACCTAACAAACGTGATGTTCACATGTTCCGGAGTACGACGCTACTTTCCTTTGAACTATCTTACAACTTACCAGTCGCCGCCGGCTGACGCCGGCGCGGCTCCTTCTGATACGGCCCGGCTGCGCCGGGCGGGCGCGGCTTCGCCGCGCGTACCTTCTCTTACACATTTTTAGACTCTACTGTTATCCGCCTTTTGTTCTGTACTCCCCTTTTCTCCGGTGTCTGAAGTACTCTTGAGCTATTCTACAGATTCTTCGTCTGACTCCGCCCACCTCAGAGCAGACCTCGCCCACAATTTTTGTGTCCCACACTCTTCACCGGCGACCCTCTGCTGACCTTAATCCACTTTTTTGCGGTGTCCGAATTGTTCTGGAACCGTTCCGCAGAATTTTTGTCTGGCTCCGCCCACCTCGAAACAGGCTGCGCCCCCATTTTTTGTGAACCACAATCCTCACTGGCGACCCTC